AACAACGCATAAAAAGGGATGTGCTTGTAGGTCGTCTTTGGTTTATCACTGTAGCGGAAACTTGCAAATCTTCAAAAAAACTGAGTTTCAAGTTCAACGCCACAGAATTGCATGGTGATGTGTACGTCCAAAGTGAAAGAGAACAGACTACTTTGTGATCTTAATAGAGATTTCATCATTGAAGCCAGCTTGTGCTGAAAAGCCTAGAGGCACAAACTGAATGACCGTATCATTCTTGTTGGGAACCATTCCGTGAATAATAGATTAAATTGAGGAGTAACTTTGCAAGTCTAATTCAATGGACCTGTCTCCTTTGATGAGCATGGTGGATGTGGTAGGTTGTTAGCAAAGTACACTCATTTGCAAACAAATTTGGATTTGTGACAGTCTCACCTGGTGAAAGATGGTTCAATTGGTTAGAACGCAAATTTATTAACCGCAAGGTCCGTGGTTCGAACCCAACCTCCGTCTCTCAACTTCCCATGTCTAGGCCTGGGCAACCTGGCAGTAATCCAGTCCTCGTGCTTTTTTCGAGTAGAGTAGCAGCTAGGCAACGGAAGGGTGTTACAGCTGAACGATTTCCTATACGTAGAACCCAAATGAATCTCTCGTTTAAAAACACCTTAAAAGAGGTATTCACCTGGAATCCAGGTGAGTCTTTCGAAAATCCCAATTTAATTTAATCGCTAATTTCGTGCAGTTTGTGTTCAAGTAGAACACAAGATTGACGGAAACGCGGGGACTGCACCTAACCTGATGTGCTCCAAGAAGGGTGAAACCGTTCGTGAGCTATCCAAGAATTTTCAGCAATCTTATGCGTAGTGATGGAGTGTATTTGTTCGGATGGAATGGATGGGTGTTTCAGAAGCCCTAAGATGCGCTACGATATTCATAAAGATTACGAAGGGTCTTCAATCTCTTATTGCGGATCAGAAAAACCTGGTCATCTTCTAACAAGCGTCACCGAGCCACATGGTATATCCATTTTGCGAGCAAATCCGTGTGCTAACATTTCTGGCGAGAACCTGGTCCTAAATTTCCGAACTCCACACTCACAAGGAGGTGCACTTGCGTGGTGAACTGGCTAGCTGGGGTCCTACAGTGTTGGGGCACGTTAAGTCACATTCTTGGGAACCACACGGCAAGCCATAGTTTTCAAGTTGGCATGCAAACGTTCTCCAAGAGCCTAGTAATTTAAATTTGATGGTAGTAACAACTAAATAATGTAACCACTAACATTGCTCTGAAGAGTCAATTTTATATGAATAATTTGCGTGCCGCACAAGAGAGGTCTTTTCGCAAAGGCATGTAATTATCGACAGATTAAAATACGGTATAACCTGAGTCTTCACATTGGTGTTTCCTAGATGAGATTGCCAGAGTCAAAGTAAGGATGAAATACATCTTAGTAATTCTGAGTAATTTTTTGTTTTATCCTACATTTTTAGATCCCAGCTCACACAGAAACTTGCTTCTGGTCCACCGGAAGATAGTAGGAACCGATAGAATAATTGCTGTTAGCAGTGTACCTGCTCTGAAGGACACATGGTTACGACCATATTTGTCTAGTCAGGGTGGGCCGCAGTGCATACACAGCCAAGGCTACTCGAGCCACATGATTGTTCCATTGTAGACTGAGATTTATTGCCAAAGCAGTGCAGAATAGTTGAGTGGACGAGACCGAATTGCTGTTAAGCATTATAAGATAGGCTTTCCAACGTTTGACTTCGATTCACCATTGGATGAGAGCCCAACCACGGTCGATAAAACAACCGAACTTATGTGTCCGTATAGAACAAAGAAAGAAATTACTGAAATTGACCCTCCAAGCAGAACCTTGCTTGATGTAGATCAACCTTCAACATAGTTAGAGAGCAGCTTCTGCGGACAAATGAAATATATGAGAAACATATGATCACACTGACCATTTGGCTTGTTCATAATTTTCAGGCGTCATTTTGATGTTCAGATTAGCAAAAGGCACCTGTAATTTCCGTAGCACGAGGCCATCTCGTTGACAAGTTCGTCAACGGTACAATCTCAATCAGGTGTTTCGCGTAGCATTTGTTGATTTATGTACATTTTCGGGTTTCTAATTGAGCGCGAACTACACCTGTCACCGAAAAACTCCAGCCATACACAAGTCTTTGCATCAAGCTCGAAGAAAAGAGGAATAGAGCAGTGCCCTCAATGGTTTAGTGAGCTCATGCATATGGCATTAAAGTGATGACTCAAACTATCGGGCGGCATGTTAGGTCTGGGAGAGTTACTTTAGTTTCTGAAAAAAATATCAGCTGAGGTTTGCTGTCGACACAGTGTCGTTAAGTGATGTTGACGTTAAAACAAGACCATGTTTTAACAAAGCCTGTCAACATAATTAGTGCACCAGAAGAAAAAAAACAGGGGTCAGTTTGTAATACACTACTCATAAGATTGTAGAAGGCACTTCGACAGCCCATGACCGGTTTCGCCCCTCTTGGGGCTCATCAAGTAGGTGCAGACCCCGAATTTTTACTCAACCTTATGTTCTACTTGAGCACAAATTGCATGAAATACACTACTTTGCATGCCAGTTTGGTTTTGATGGGAGACTTACCTGGACCCCAGCTGAATCTCTCGTTTGTGAACCGAAAGTGTGACATCTCATATATCGTACCAGCTGGATTATGAGGTGGGACCCCAGCTAATCTCTCGTTTGTGAACCGAAAGTGTGACATCTCATATATCGTACCAGCTGGATTATGAGGTGGCCTGGTGCAGCGCATTCAGTTTCTTATAAACACTATGAAACAGAGATGAAGCTGATTTCCAGGCGAGCCTCTCGCGAGACTAAATTAGTTTGCAAATGAGTGTACTTTGCTAAGGAATCAGTTTGCATCGTTCCGTGAAGCCGTTTCCAACACAACCACCATCTCTCTCCTTTAAGCTTGGACAGTGGTTTTTGTCCCTGAATCGAGTTAAAAAAAAGACTGAAGTTGATCCTGGTCATATCACCAAATCCAAAGACTCAATCTCCGTAAGCTTTGCAGCCGAACAAATAAGGTCTATAAAATGTCACCTGTAAAGCATTGAGATCACACAATACACTGATTCTTCCAGACAGTCTAGACCAGTGGGACGCTGACAGATGACGGTGGATCCAAATCACTTTTCGGTTTATTTGGAGGATATGATATTAAGTAAGTTCTCCATACTCTCTTGGTGAAAAGCTTTATCATCAAACGGGAAAGGGGAGCTTTTTTCGCTGCAATCGCTGCTTGGATTTGGGGCCACTATCATGCGTTCAACATAATTAAAAACCAGGATGTCATCTCACACCGCTAGATTGGCGATAGTCAAAACCTATTTTCCAAAACTAAAGCAAAAGAAATACGTCTGTATTTGTGTACGCCGTACGTCGTATTTGTGTGAGCACATGTTCTACGCATAACCACACAGAAATCTGATTCCGCGAATTCAGGCTGGTCACAGTCACGAGACATGTTCCAACGGACATGGCGAAATGAGTAAAAGTAACTAGCCTTGTTAATAATAAGTCAACGCGACTTGTCCGTACATTATAACAGCCACTAAATAGAACTAAGATGGTGATCTGGTAGAATCAGTGCGACTCACAAATCAACGCGTACTCTAAACCAAAGACCTGGACACGGAGAACTGGGCCAAAAACAAGAACATGAAGGTGAGCTTACAGAAGATAAGGTTCCACTAATTGTGCCAAGGTAATCATGTTCATAGCCATCGGAATTCCTAGTCTGTTGATTCACTGCGAAGGTCGCAACGGGATGATCTCATAAACGCGGTGGGTGCGTTTACTTGGAGTTCTGTGGCAGCCTACGCCATGCTACTTTGTTTTTACGGCTTGGTCAACCTTTCCCTCAACTCACTCACCCACTCGCCGAAATCCGTTTCGGAACTGCTGATATCCGGCGCATAAATCTTACCCGAAATTCCACAATATGCCAAGCTTGGCAACCCACGGATTTTGAAACAAAAGACATGCGGATTAGCGTACAACAGCATCGGCCTCAAGAAATCAAGATGGACACTACTTGTCACACACACACACATCTTCGTGTTGACCAGTTGTGCGCGCTTGTCCTGCATACACGGAACAGCTGTGGTGTGCTCAAGTGTTATCAGATCAACTTTTCTCGGGGTTACCGCTATGGGGATTAGGGATTAGCATGGTGTAGAAAAAAGAAGCGTTCTTCCTGGCGCACGCTCTTTTTGTCCGACTCGCCGACGCTAAACAGCTGGTCATCCTATTCACAGATTTATCTGGTTTTTGAAGGCGCTCTTGAGCTGAGTTCCGAATGTAGTTTAAGCTTACCTACTTCGCAGAGTCACACAGGCTAAGGCTCGCATCGGCTGCAATTTCCGCTTTTCACAAGACAATAAGGGCAATAAATTTTTCAAGTCGAGGGTCTCGAAATATGAATTCTCCGCGCTGTCAGAGTCCTCCTATAATCGAGCAAGAAGCACCACCTATACACACTTTACTCGACGACGTATAAATTACAACTATTTTGAATTTTCTTCTGGCACTGAAATAATTTTGTCCAACAGATAAAGCGAAGCCCACGAAATGGACATGATGAGAGGTCATCACTTTGTGGCTGAACTCAGGTCACATAAGCTGGAACCGGTAACCTGACAGTAAACTGAGTTCTTGATGGCCATTCCACTAAAATGCCTGTTCCTCACAGAAAATTTCAAGGATGTGTGTCTTTGAAAAAGCATGGCAGAACTGTCTACAAACTACGTACGAACACTTTGTATTGCCAACAGTTCCACCTTTTTTTCAGCTCAATGCCACCTCAAGAGACAATGGAAGGATAGTTTACACGAGGAACATCCCTCTGCAGGATCACAGAAGATCAATTAGTTATTCGGCTACTTTGGCAGCATTGCATTAGACACTATGTATTCACAGCCTCATGAGATCACATTTACTTACTGATTGTAGCTACGTTTAAAAATGGAACATTTTCACGGTGGCTGGGAAGCAAATTTCTTTAATCTGTTTGAGACTTATCATTAAGTTAAAGATGAATTTGAAATAGAAAATAGTGTGATGTTGCTTGTGGGTCGGGGTAATGCACTGCTACGGGAATGAATAATCCCGCGTGCACACGTGCTTTTGGTGGCCATCGCCAATTCATGTGAATGAACCTGTCGCGGTTCCAGGAGAGTATAGACTTTCGTACTCTTTTCACATAATGTGCGACCATCTTCTACATTGATGTGATGACTGCTCTGAGGTATGGCTGACAAAGCGTCGTTAAAAGCGCAACAAATTGGATGGGTGTCTGCAGATCCGGGATGCTCGGTTCCTTCCATATTTTGTCCACCTATATGTTCAGTGGATTTCCGATAGTCCTTACAAGTTCTTGATGACTGTTGCCATGCATTGAACCTAGTTAGAGTTATTGAATTTATCTTAATTACCGCATGAAGTTGTTATTCAATGTAACTTTAATAGTCCCATGGGAACTGTTGTGTTTCACTCGTCACAACAGGTTTTCACAGTCCATTGGCTAAATTTCTTTATAATTATTCGCTTTTTTCGGCTGAAGTTGGAAACATTTTACGCGATCCTTTAACTACAGTTCCCTGTAGTAGCTTGTTAGTTGATATTGACTAAGTGTGCAGTATTGTCTATGGAATATCGTTCGAAAGGTGGCAATCGTAACTGAATTGCCTCCGTAACAGCTTCTAGCCTGTGGGCGAAAATTATCACATTTCGGGATCTTTTCTCAGTTTTAATATTAGCCCACTGTTCCAACTAATTCCAGTGCGTCTCGATGGGGCGAAATCCGTTGTAACATAGAGAACAACATAGAGAAGCTAGGATAAGCGGCATGGAAGTAAACGTCACAGAAAGTAGCGCGGTGGAAGAAACTAGGACACGGAAGAAAGTCACACGAAAAAATCACACAGGATGAAACCATGTGGAACAACGTGCGATAGTGGATACCTCATAAGCACAAGCATTCAGCAGTTATGGACTGTTCACTGGGTTTCTGATTGAATGGAACTCGATCACCGTCGCCCATCTTGGAAAAATTTAGGATTCGATACAGCCCCATTGGAAACTACAACATATTGTTGTAGTTCAATGTACAATGTTAGACAGAGCCACTGGGTAAACATGAACAAGAAGGAGAAAAACCGAACCAGACCATAACTCAGTGAACTGACAAGCTATTGCATACCAGCAATACCTCGCGTGTACATCATGCATCTATTCGTCTGCCCATCAGACACGCGTATGAGACTTCAGAATCAATCGATGGATGTTTAGTGGGTCGAACCTGCCCAAAGGCTTGCGTCAGACATGGGTGAATAACGAAGATATTGACTAAAACTTTCGCAGGTCCAGCTTGGACGTAGGCAATATCACCTGAATCTAACCGAACCATCTTCAACACCCATTTGACGTTCAATTCCTCTCATTTCGGCCTTTTTTCTAATACAATCAGTGGTACTTGCACTTTCGTACATCGGAATACAGAGTGAGTGTTGCATTGGCAAGGATGTACAGACTTGAATGAAGTTTAGCACCACAGCCAGATATCCGGTTCCCACTTTTTGTCAACACTGTTCTTGAATTGAACACTAAACTGCACGCAATTCGCGAAATGCACAAATTCGCAGATTAAATCAGCGTTCACGGGAAACACACTTGAATTTCTGCAAATCAACTCATCTCGTCATTTGTATACAAACTGGTGTCTATATATACTATGGTTTTGACGTAAACACGAGTTCTTTGCCTACCTAGTAATTCCCCAGGAAGACGAATGTGGTAGTGGGCTGTCCAGGAGTTTTCATCAACTTTAGTAGTTGTATTTTTCGTCTAGATAAAAGCCTTATTCACAGTGTTTGAAACATCTTTCATAGTGGAGAAATTACTTTGTGCGACCTAAAATTCCTTCTTTGTGATGGAACAAACTACACATCCCTGTGTTTGTGACCTTCGGTCGCGTATGTATAGACTGGTATAAGTGTGAAAAGCCATCAAAGGCATTGGATATTATTTTCCATGTGTTCATTCATCAGCAGACCTCTATGGAAAACCGGAAAATTGAAGCTGTCAACGGCCGGTCAGTTTTTAGTTGGACCACTTAATAAACCGGGTCTAGCTATCAACACAAGCAGTCTCCTCTGGAAGACTCCCCTTAGGGCCATTACGTTATCACGTTGTGTCCTCATGTGCTACACACTTTTATACACGAAAAATGTAGAATGAAGCTACGATAGAGTAGTACAGACAGAATAAAGCAGCAGTGGACTAAAAGGCTTCAGAATGGTTGCTGTAGAAGACGGTGTAAACAAGTACCAAGGATTTTGGATATGTCCATGTTATCCAAGAACATATCTTTTACAAATAGATGCTTTCTATGATGCCTCAGTACACTCGTAAGTATGAATAAAATGTGATATACTGTGGAGCAAACATTTCGCCCAAAGATGTGGGGATACAAGTTCAGGTATACCAGTTAGCTGGGACTAACCGAAAAGCAGTGAGTGGCTGGCCGAGGCAGAATCAACACCTCCATGTGACAGTTCTGGTGGTATAAGGATGGTTGACATGATCCGAAAGCGATCGCTCCAGTGTTCGGACGAATAGTCTTGGGACGATCGGGTGGCACTGAGTAAATCATGCTGACATGGCGATTAGTACTTTCTAAACTGGCCACAATCGCTCTTGCCACTTGCTTCATTTTGCGGAATCCATCACACAATGACAGATGCTTAGCCATTCTTCAGAACAGGAGCGGAGCAGTACAAACGACGTAGTTCGTGCCACGTTCTTAAACGAAACAGCAGATAACAAAAT